GCTTCAGTGATGCTGCTCGAGAAAAGAACGATGTCGTCCACAAAATGTCTGAAGGGTCCGAAAGTTTGTGCCGTTTATAAACCTATCCTCAAGTCATTCAGAATAAAGATCGACAAACGTTTTAAACCTGTTCTACGCAGAATTTCTTTCCCTTTCCAACAGTAATGTCTTTATTCGGATTTCTTCAGTGTTCTTTCGAATAATCGCCACAATCTCCAACCAGGGCCCGGCACCGATGGTTTGAAGTCAAAGTGGACTTCGTTTTGGAGTTAGAAGCAACAGGGACATCGTTTTTATGAGGTCCTGGAGGAAGCGCCAAAAAAAACACGACGAACATGTCAGGTTTCACGAGTTGAACGTGTTCTTTCGCAAGCGCGCGAATTTCAAATGCAAGACTCAAACAAACAAATGGCTTGTTTACAGCGCACAAACAGTCACATGCTTCGAATTTGGAATTCGAGAATAAATAGAAACTCATCCGTCTTTTGAAATTAGTGTCAAATCATGGTCGATTCTTGGAAGTTCCGATTTGCGAAGACTTCATAGTATTCAAAGCGTAGTGTTTAGTTTTTTCGTAGTGTTTTGCTTATTCTATTTAACTGTTATTAAAAGGTTTTTAAAAGTTCAGAACGAAAAAAAATAGCTAGAATAAGGGTACGTAAAATGCATGGGTTGGAGACAGGGCCCTGCACGCGTTTTTGGAGGTTTTTAGAAAACAAAATCCCCCATGACTCCGCGAAAATTTACGAAGTCCCTCTCGACGTGAAAATCAGTAGGGAAACCCTTATTCAACCAAAATAGCAACAAAAGAGCGAAAAAAGCTCATTTTGAGGTATGCAATATAACAGAAAAGCAAAAAGAAAACATTTCGAGTCGATTAAAGGCTCTGCCGTTGGGTATAGTACCATTTTGATGCTGGGAATGTCGAAAATCTCTTAGGCCAACCAAATCTGTAGCCTCAACAATCCTGCGATGCATTTTTCGCCACATATTTCAAAGGACACCGCAAGTGATTGGAGCGCGATATCTATCAACGCGTAGAATTATGGGGGAGGGGGGGGGGGGGAGGACCCGAAATCGAAAGCGGCTTTCCAAATAAAATGTATACCAGTTTAAAAGGCATTAAACGCTGATTCCAAGACCGTTTTTGTTATCTGCAGCGCCACTAGACGCCGAGTTATGAGCATTTTTCGGCTCAAAAAATCGAACGCGCAATTGGAACATATTTGTCCAAGATTGCGAAAATGGCCCAGCGTTGGATAACAGACGACTCTATGCGTGAAAACCTTTGTCTGATATAGTCGTACTTAACATTTCCTTATTTTAGCGCTGAAAAGACCATAGTCATTGGTTTTACCTAGATTTTGCTATTATTTTCCGCTCCAAAAAACCTTCACAACTCAGTGTCTAGAGGACAGACACTGAGTTGTGAAGGTTTGGCAAAATTGTCTTTGCCTTTTGCACCAGCTTAACAAAAAGCGATGACAATTTTGTAATCAGCGTTTGATGCTCTTCAGATTGGTGTAAATTTCTTTGAAAAGGCGATTCCAATCTAGGGTCTTCTGATTAGAGTGTTTGTCTATCTTTATTCTGAATGATTTGAGAATAGTTCTGGAAACGGCAAAAACCTTCGGACTCACCTAATAGTTTCGAGAAGTCTACCAACTCACATACTCATATGCCACTGCAAGGCCGCGGTGCACGGCTCTCGCGAGATTGTGTCGCCCTGTTGGACCTCTCCCCAACTGGGATGGTCAGGAAGCGTAGGATGAAAGTTAAGTTTTTTTTGAATTAAAACTTCTAAAAGCCGACCAATCAAATTCATTATAACCTTTGATTCAACCGGCTTGGCATCTGGAAGGCGGGGCTTTTGTGACTTAAATAAGGCCGCTCGCGCCGTCTGCTTCTTTCGCGCGCGTGCTCTCTGATCATTATCTAGTCTCATCTAGGTCACGAAGTTGCGCCTTCCAGGCGCCAAGCCAGTTGAATCAAAGGGTATTTTACTTTGTTGGAATCGAAGTTGATTTGTTTTTTTCTTCGCACTCAATAACTAGAAGAAGAAATCTGACAATAAGTAACGACTTTAGGCCAAGATGAAGGCACCGTCCACTCAGATTCTTGACTTCCATCTTTTGATTGTTTTGGGGCTTTCCCTTGTCCCTGAATACGATTATGATGTCGAGAATTGCGAAAACCGCGGCAACTCCTGTTCCGGAGAACTAGCAGGATGATTTTCAGGAACGTGTCCTCCGGAGCGCGCACGGATGGGCGAGCATCACTGGAGGGGGCGGTGCCGACTTGTGGTTCTCACGCCTCTTTGCTATTAAAAGGCGATTTCCTCGCTTCCAAAGCAACATTTTGCGCTGCGATTTAGGCATTGGCTTGATAGGGGATCTTACTATGGTAAGCTGCCAAGAGCTCAAGCTGCTACATAACTTAACACATTGACGACAAGGCCGATTTTTCGATCACTGCCATTTCGGACAGGAGCCTTTTTTGCTCTGCCAAACTTACGACCCACCCGTGGGTCGTATTGTCCGAAATGGTAGTCTTTTTGTGAGAAATTCAAAACATGTTTCCCATGTTTCTGAGAATATCCCCACAACGGTTATCGAAGGCGCTGATCATCAAAATATGATTTGTTTCAGTTTTTGGCAGTATACGGTAAGATTACGGTAGTCACTCTGTAAACCCAACATCACGGATTTTCGTGAAAAATTGTGTTTTCGGGTTATTTCACATGCTGATCATGATTATAGTGTCCATTTTGTTCACTACTTTCCCACAGTGGGACTACGGTAGCAGTACGGTAGAATTTTTTAAGAATCAAGAAACTGATGTAAGAAGGCGGTATTAGAACTTGAGACTATCATTTTCGTAATGCATGCTAAAAAACCTATATATGCAAGGTTTGAGCTTTCTGGGATGAACAATCCGACAAATCAATAAAATCAATAAAATCGATAATTTTTGATGGGCTGACATCAGTCTCATGCTCTCCCTGTATATTTCTTGTGCATGTAAACTTGAATTGTCAAAAACAGCACCACTCTGCGAGAAATTCGAGCTAAAATCTGTGCCTTACCTCTATCTACGGTATACCTACCGTAACATTACATTACAGTATCCCGGACTCGGACCACTCCGGCTAAAGCTTCGCCAAGGTGTCCCCAATCATGTGCCAGAATACCGTAGAATTCCATCGCATGCTGGCAAAGTTAGAGCTTTCGAAAGCTTACGACCCACCGGTGGGTCGTATTGTCCGAAATGGCAGTACGCGTACGACCCACCGGTGGGTCTTGTCGTCAATGTGTTAAAGGCAGTGTCCTGGCAAATTTCGCATTTCTATTTTTTTTGCATGTTCTGGGCCTTGTCGACCCGTAGGCCCCGAATTTGGGCTCTAAAACGGGTGAAGACCTTTTTCGGGGCGTTTAACCACTTAAAAGAAAGCAGCTCGGACGAGAATTTCAATGGGAAGAGACAAGGTCTTGGCACGAAGACCCTGCTGCCTGTAATTTTTGCTTTGGATAGCATGCAATACTCAGACACTCGCTGCGGCGGCGCGCGCGTCTTATGCGTGCGGCCCCTCATGTCGCCCGCCGCCGGCCGTCAGATAGCGCGCGCGCCGCGAGTAGATGGCACGCGCGCCGCGAGTAAATGGTACGCGCGCCGTGAGTAGATGGGACGCGCGCCATACGATAATGGCACGCCGCTCGCACGGTATGAAAATTGCCATTCGCATTTGAAGCACTGCGAATCACGGTGAATCTGTGGTAGACCTGATGACAACCTTCAATTTCAGGCAAACAATGGCTTTAATTTCAAATATGAACTTGAAGTTTCCAAAGTTTCCAAATTTTTGAAATTTGAAAATTCAAATTTCAAAAATTCAAAAATTCAAATTCCCAAACTTGAATTCAAACTCGGCACCTACTCGCGGTGCTTATGAGGACTGAGTCTCAATGGAAGAACTAGAAGAATCCCACTTGTGTTAATGAGACAACTCCATTGCGAAACAGCGATAACCTTAATGAATTGGCGATAAAGCACCCAAAACACTGCGTCGTACTTCACGCAGGTATCGCTTGTGCTTACAGCGTGTGAAAATGCGGAAGATATCATGGCACGCCACTCACTGATAGATTGCGCGCCGCTCGCACTCTCAACTAGGGCGCGCCGTTCGCAATACAGTGTTATAGTGGCGCGCGCCGCCGCGCCGAGTGTCGAATAAGCGCGCCGGCGGCCGTAATAAGGCGCGCCGCTCGCCGGCTGCGAACGATGGCGCGCCGCTCGCACTGCAGCCTCAACTGTGGCGCGCCGCTCGCACGGCAGCATCAAATAGAGCGCGCCGCTCGCACTGTAGCGCTATTATGGCGCGCCCGCCGCCGCAGCGAGTGTCTGAGTATGCGAGAGAGCGGTCATGGGGTCCCGCGCCGAACGGTAAGCGAAATCGTTCGAGCGCGCGCCGATTGGGGTTGCGCGCGCCGGTTCGAGGGCCATTTTCTCGGCCCAGAGGGAACATCAACCAGCCGAACTGCGCTGCAGGTCAATGGGATGACCAGGAACCCGACCATAGCAATGTCCTCCAGGGAGCGAATCTGCCTTTGAAGGCACCGTCCACCCAAAATCTCGAATTTAATGTTTTTGTCGCCTTCAGGCCTTCTGAAAGCCCTGATTCCGATTACAACTGTAAATCTAATGATAAGACGAAAACTGCAACAATGCTACGCAAATACTCGTTTCATGCTCTCTACTCGGCTATGGAGCGAGTTCGCCGTATACTGAGCGTCTGATGATCCCTTTTCGTTGCAGTTTTCCTAAATTTCGCTCAGCGGATCATTTACAGGCCAAAACGAAAAGTCAAAAGGTCGCCAACGTCACAATATGAGAATGCCCGGCTTTTGGCAAGTAAAAGTTGTGACAAACGGAACATAAAAATTTATTTTAAGCGATTGCAGGGTGATCAAAAAATCGTTTAGCTTTTCAATACCATATCACAGCTCCGCTGAGACTTCTTGCTATGCTGCATTATCCCTGGCTCTCTGCATTCGCCTCTCCATCATCTCCTTCACCATTTTGTTGACATCGGCGGGGTTTGCATCTACGCTTGGATCCTTCATCAGCTCATCCATTTTCCGATTTCCAAGCATTTCCATCATCCGATCAATATCTGCCGCATTCGGCTCATTTGACCCTTTGTCTGGTTTGTCCAGAAGCGATTTCTGTAAGGAGTGATAAATCAGCTCATGGAACAAATGCGCGAGCTGCACTTAAACCTTTTCATCGTTCTTGGGAGTTTGCACCTGACTCTTGACATCTTTCATAGCTGAGGGTTCCTTCAAAGCAGATGCTGCGCTTTTTTCTTTGTCATCCGCCTGCTTTTCTCCTTCATTTGCCTCATCCTCTGCATTCTTGCCCTTTTTCTTTTTCTTCTTCTTGTTCTTCTTCCCTTCCTTTGCCTAAATTACCGTATCATTCTTTAATAAAGAGAAAAGAGCGCTTTATTGCACAGCTTACCCGCTCCTGTCTCAACCGTTCTTCTTCATCCAGTTTTGCGCCAAGTCTTTGACGCATCCTTCTTTTCCTCAGAATTATAACCGCTACTACAACAGCTACAATAATGAGGATGACGAATAAAGCAGCCGCAACAGCGAGGATAATAAAAAGCGTCGTGTTGGACGATGCTTCCGCTTTAGTCGGTACATTCTTTCCTGAACAGAGCGTCCATCAAATTCGTATCATTACTTGGCGAATAGTGCGCTGGAGCTGCACACCTCCTAATAAATGTGCGATCCCTCCAGCTTTAGTTGTTTCGTTCTCTTCTTCTGTGAGATCAGAGGACGTAATTTGCTCTACGGAAGGTATGAACGTTGTAGTAGTGGGACCGGCGGTGCTGTCTTCCTCATCATACTGATACTTGTCTAGCCATCCTCTTTTGACTCTTCTAACTCCTGTACTTAGCATGGTCAGCGTGTTAATGGAAGAAAGCGTATGGCATACTAGACCAGAGCATGCTTGTGACCGCTCGATAGTGACTAAAGAATTGAAAGTGACTTACTCTCTCGACCGCGGTGACTATGACTGTAGATATGTTGACTTGATAAGGTTCAAAAATTATGACTCAAAGACGGCCATAGTGAGGTTGCGACAGCTAGCAATCAGTCCAAGAGGAAAGCACACATGTAAGGTCTAATTTGCTCTGGAAACGTTGCGCTGCCCGTTTCCTTGTTACCGACCCCGACCATCCATCGATATTGTATTGCACGCTAGAGCGCACATACTGCACGCAAGCATGACCAATGGGTCCCCAACGACTGTGCTTCTTCGCTTTGGCAGTTGCTCCACACGCGACGCTCGCTTCAAGCTACATTATTGGAATCAGCTAAGAAATTAGACCATATGAGTGAAAATTATGCAGTGCGACATTCCGGACGCTGCCTTTGAACTCGCAAAGTAGAACTGTAATTGTGAGTTGGGCGTGAAAGCCTGATGCGATGGCTCGGTGCAACGTCGCACATTTTCCTCCTGTAAAAAAGCTACCGAATGCAAAGTGGCGCTGCCAGCTGTGTCCTTGAGAAGAGATCAAAATATCATGCTGTATATGTGTTAAAAGACCACTAACATTGAAAATTTCCCTTCGTGATTCAGTCATATGATGCCCACTTCTTCTGTGCTACTTTCTTTCGCAACCCACTTGCGTGAGGGCAGTCAAAATGCCCCATCTGCTGCTGCGTCACAAAATCCTCCTGAGAAGCGCCTAAGAGCGTTATTCGTTTTCCTCTAACAGTAGGGTCTACCTAAAAGCGAAGTTTTTGCTCTTTGTAGATGAGTGCTTATCGAATTCAGAAGTGAAGATTTGGACATATTGCTTCACAAAAACTATTCTGCCTTCTCTCACATTTTTGCAGATAAACGCAATGTGGAGAGATCGGAAAGATGAGCAGTTTACAACCGTTGACCCTTTTAATAAGAACAAAATGGTTTGCTACATATTGATAGAAAATAAATGCGTCATTGATGCCGAATTCAAGTGAGATCAGTTGTGAGATTTCTGCTTATGACGCGGTCATCTGCACATGAGTAAGTCTGCTGAGGTCTCATTCTTGACGAGGCGCAAATTTGTTTTCAGACTCGTTCACTACATCTACTAGCACATCCACTACGATAACAAGTACTGCTGTTAAGCGAGAGTGGGTTTTGTACCGATAGGATGTGGCACAGCAGGGAAGAAACATTGCAGGGAAGAAAAACGAGACAATACCGTCACTATCATAATAGTGGTGGTTGTAGTGTTCTTCGTTGTTTTCGTGCTTGGGGTCACTTGGGGCTTAGTGATAGAGCATAGGAGAAAAAAGCGAAAATTGATAATGTTCAAGAAAATGGAAATTCGCGACGAAGAACGGAGAAGACGACGAAAGCTGCGAAAAAAGAGAGTGAGTTTACCCTATACGTTGACATGGCTTGATCGATGGGTTCAGGAAAGAGCTAGAAGAAAAAAGAAAAAAGAAGCGAAAAAGCGACTAGAGCAAGCCGATAACCAGGTTAGAGTTAAAGACCTTTCTGCAAGTCCTATGATTTGCCTTTCGTAGCTGAAACAAGCGCTGGAAGAGTATCTTACTGGCCAGACCGAAACTTACGGCACTACCGATGAGCAAGAGACTGACTCCACAAGGGGACCGACTGGACAAAGCCCTTCTGTGTCCGCTTCATCTGCGACGACCTCAGCTGCCACACACTCCGAATCGGCTACCAAAGTCCCACCCGTGAAAGTGACAGCCTCAGAAGCGAGCGTACCCGCTTCACGAGGTAGAACGCCAAAGTCTGAGAAAGTTGGAGTGGTGGTAGGTGGAGATCAGATTGCTCTGTAATGTCGCAAAGAATCATTTGAATTGTGGATAAGATTTATAACTTCCAATAAGATGTAATACTTTGTTTCATGCAGTAGATTAACATCTGTCTTATTACTCAAATTTATGCTTACTCGTATGTTCAACATGAAAATAAAGAGGAAAGAGAATTTTGCATTTGCCAGTAGTAGAAGGAGTAAAAGAGTGTTTTGAAATAACGATTTGGAAGTCGCTTTCTGTTGCTTGCTTGGGCCTGTGTTGGATGGGTAAATGACGATTGGTCACCACCCATTCTTATGCGATGAGTTTGATTGGCTTACTGTTTCCATGAGCCAATCGCACCCGAGGCAGGCGCGGATCTTGAGCAACACCTACATAATTCCTCTCTTTCAAAAAGCTATAAAAATAATTCACAAAATTCTAAAACTTGAAAGCTGCACAATGTTCGAAATTATCGTACTTAGAAATTTTGAGGAAGTGAGCCAACGTTCTACCGAGGAGCTTTGAGGAAGTCTAGTGCCAAACGAAGGCGGATGGTCATCGTCTTGGGGGGGGGGGGGAGGAATACGATGGTAAAGCTATTCATGCTGTAGATGCTTGATGAGCAAAACCCTCTAGGAATATTCGCTTGCCTCATATGAATATATCTGCCTTCATCCGGAGCTGAACTTTGCTCCCCTTTTTTGTTCCCTTTCTACATTTCTCAAATCCCTTTTTTAACATCTTCTACTCGAACAAAAATGAGCCAATTTCGCGAATTTCAACCTCGATGTCCTCAGCACAAATCGTGAATACACGAGACGAGACGTAAGCAAATGTATTGTGAACTTAACTTCAAATGTACTGTGCAGTTAGCCATATGAAAAAATTGTCTATAACAGTATGTAACGCAAGGATCAAAAAGGTTCAAAAGAACGTACATTGCAGAACATTTCTATTAAAAAAGTCCCACGGAAACTCCTAAGAAGTTTATTGTGCAATACTCATAGCAGAACAAAAGAACGAACACGAGACATAAATTCTTGAACTGTGGAAATGAATGAGTTGTAGACGATAAATCCAAATAGAAAGCCTCCAAATGACACTTCTCAAAAGAAGAACATGCATTCCCTTTACCAGTACATTTATAGATTTAGTTGGCAGATTTCCAAAAAAAGTGCAGAAATACAGCTTAGAAAACATTTGGAAATTGCCGAAACATAGCCGTAGAAGTCACTTCTTTACCAAGGAAAGAGACAAGACTACAAATGGCAAACATCATTCAATAGCAGTAGGCCGTTGGTTGTGATCAAGACTGTAGATCACACGCAGTTTTTCATATCCCTTGATTTCTTCTACTATTTCAGTTCTTCGTACCATTCCGAAGTTGTTTTAGACTTTTCACATGGGATATTGTAATTGTGTAAGATTAGAGCACGAATATGCGAAAACCTCAGCGAGCAGTCAGCAAACGTTAAAGAAAGAAAAGAGTTCTTTTTTCTAAACCAAGTGGATATCGAGCCGGCTGTTTTTCTAAAGACACTGTCCTTGCAATCAACAAACTCGCAAAAAGAGCGGAACAGAACCATTTTTAATATAAGAAACAAAGCGACAGGCAACCACGACGAGTGTGCAAGCCATAATCAAAATTCCAGCAATCGCCAATGATGAGTAATTATAAGGAGCTCCATTGTAAATGTGCCATGTTTTTCTAAAAATAAAATATCAGACGAGAGAAATAAGGATATTGGATTTTTGAAGAAAATTTGAGTGAAGACACTATTTACCCACATTTAAGAAATTTACTAGCAGAGCGGCACGGTACCACCCCCTATCAGCAGGGTCAAGCACGCCGGACCTGGGATCTACTATGTACTGGAGATAAAGATGCAGGGATAGTGGTGGGGACAGGGAAAAAATCGTTTACCCTATTTTCAGGTGTATAAGCCGCACTTTTTCAAATTTTCGCCCGGGCTGCTCAGCTGCTTCAATTGTGTTTCGAGAAGAAATCCTTAAGCTGCACGATTATTTCAGGCAATACGCAGCACGGTATAGGGTCCTTTGGTTGCGAAGTCCTTTAATGTGTTCGGGCTGGTCGATGTAAGCTAGGACCACCCCGCGGCTTATACACCTGAAAATAGGGTAATAAGGGTGGATGTAATGATGAGGGAAAGTGAAGAAAAAGGAGAATTACACTGATATATATAATGAAACAGTGTGAGTAGTCAGTATATAATTACAAAAAAAATACAAAAGTGCACAACGATTTTTGTGTGTTTTCAACACTATGCGGTTTCGGGGCTAAAAACTACACCGGCAATACAACTTCTTTGGTGCCCCTCATCATTAGTTCCCAATACAGAATTCGATCAGTATAAAAGGCAAGCATAAAGACAAATAGAATTAACTTGGCAAATTGGAAGTGAAGCCACACACAAAAGAGTGACAAGGCAATTGATTGCAACCTCATTTACGAATACATACAGGTCTTTATCAAACCGTAATCGTACCATGAATATAATTACCGTATTGTATAATTACGTTGATTGAGCAGCGCCAAATAAACCTCCTATGCTAAAATTTTAGTAAATTCTGAGATTTTCAATAGTTGCCTTGTACGCTGTAAGCCAAAGAAAAATTTATCATACGGAAAAACCATTACAGTAGTAATATGGTGAATGACTTCTTAGCCTTTTTTTCACGTTTAAAAAGCAAGTCTATACAGAAATGAATTTCTTTTGGTAATGAGGATAGACATCATCTTCCGCTAAAGCTAGACAGTACTCAGTTCGTTGACTGCTTTGGATTTGTATACCGCAAAAGCCGCAGTAGTTCAATGGTAGTAATCGTCGTCTAGAGATGGGAAAGGAGGGGGAAACTGCATGATTGCGATTTCTTGCTAATTTTTTTTGTTGATAATTCCCTCACTCAATAAATTTACCTCTAACTTATCACCATGCTGAAGCGATTTGAAACTGGAGGGGGGGGGGGGGGGACAAGTCTCATTTTTAGGAATTGTTGGACTCTCAATAAAATGAAGGTCTCACAGAAGGAAATCATCCTCATTGAAGCGAAACTCTTCATTTTTCCTTCCAGTCTTATAAATATAAACTGCATTTTGATTCTTTGTAAGAAACGCCAACCACCATCCAAAAGTTGACCCCACAGCAGAGAGGAGGAATGCGTCGCAAACTCTTGATGCTATATAGAGATCAGTGAACTCAGAGAACGTAGATATTACCACTTTCTGTAAATATGTTGAACAATGAATAAAGCTGTCATTAGCAACTTACTACCGGAGTTTCGGAGCTATTTTTGATAAGTTCGTCTGCTAGCGATGACATAAAATCTTTGTCATCACCGAAAATCAAGTACTGCCGTAGACCCTGAATGAGGATAGCTCTTGGAGACAGTTGAGCTTGTACGCAAGGCCATGCGTTTGATAGTTGCGGTTTGTAAAATTTTTGTCACGGCTAGCGTCATTCATTTCGAATTTCTTAACATTATTGTCGGTGTTCAGCTACGAATAAAGGCCAGCCCTTCTATCGTTTGCTATTCGCCGTTTGAAAGCCCTCTGCCTTCTTCTGCTTTCTTGATCTATATAAAGCTAAGTGCTGGCACCAAACTTTGCACATATATGTTTGCGGCACCGGTCCACCTCGAGGTTGCTTTTCAAAGCAAAAATCCCTCTCCCTTTACTGATTTATCCATTTCAAAGGAAAATGAACTCTATCGAGTATGGAACCACGTCCAGCTTTTGTGTAAATGATAGTGGTAGTGTTCATTTTCATTGCAAATTGTGAGAAAGGCGGTAATTCACGGCAATGCGGTCAGTATCTGTCCTGTGTTACACAGGAAACAGAGGAAAGCCAAAAAACGCAGATAAGTTGAGCCTCCAGAGTTATGCACCAAGTTTGCTCTTTGTTTAATCATTTGAACCTGCCATGTAGGCAAAACTGAGCATGCCAGCTAGTGTATCATGAAAATAAAAGCTTTTTTCAATGATCGCGAATGAAAAAATAAGGTTGCAAAGCCTTCACTCGAAACGGAACACTGGTAAAAATGGTAGGAGCGGTGAAATGAATAACAGTGATTGTGGTATGGTATCACTGGTAACAGATTCATGCGCGGCCTAAGCTTGAAAGGACTCTACAATTATACAAGTTCTTTACGAGAAAAGTAGTGAAACGAGTACTACCCTATGACCCACCTTGTCTGCTGCAATAGATTTTGTTGCTTGCAGTGTCCCAAATAAATCAGATTCCAGCCCAAGTCTGAAGAAATCGTTACGCCGAATATGCACACACATTGTTCCGGTTTTATTATTCCTGAAACAAAGGACTGAAGGCCTTGTTTGATGCTTCGTGGAAATTAATGATTTACTGAAACAAGGGAGAGAGGACGCACAAGATTCCAATTATGAGATTCTATGTTCGACTTTTTGTTGATTGCTTTAGCGGAGACCAAGATTGGTACAGTTCATGCACAGGATACAGATTTCTGTAAAGTCGAGTACACGCATATAAACTGTTCGATCAAATATCTTGTCGACTTCAGAAAGGCGAGCCCATTAAGGAAACAACAGCATGAGCCAATACGCTAGATCAAGCCAGTGCTCACCTCAATAGCTGACAGATATTTTGTATGTAATGTATAATAAAGATTTGTACCAATCTTGATCTTCGCTAGAGCAATCACTTAAAAGATTCCAGTCAGAATTTCAAATCTGCATTCAAACTATGAAATAACTAGAGACATTTGCAGTAAAAATCTTACAGATCCAATGACTCTAGATATGATTCTCCTTGAATTTGACTGTTCTCTGAGAATGTGAAAAGCTTTTGCAGTTCATATAAATAATTCTCGAAATAATGTAGATTTTGTGCAAGTCCTAACTTCAAAACGAGGTACTTTGCTGGATGGTCGATAAACCTAAGGTGAATGGAATCAAGAATTTGCTCCTCGGTAAGTGTTATTGAATCGGAAAGAAGGAAACTGTACGCACTTGGATGTATCGAAGAAACCACAACATATCACTAGCCATTTAGTTCCATTGTAAAACCGTACAGAGACGGGATTGATTTGCTCACGCTGAAGGAAATTTTGAAGGATGATATTGCGCTCCTAATATATTGTAGTTCATGTCGTACATGCATCAAGACATTAGCCTCTTCTTTACTCACTAACAGAAACTTGAAAAGGCACTACCATTGCGTCTCTCCAAGCCCTTCGCATGCTGGGAATAGGCTGCATGAGGGCGGTAATGGTCAAATTCAAGCCCCTCTTCGGTGCAAAAAGCATAGAGGGTAAAGGGTTTAGCGTAGATACACGTTAATACGCACACCAAAGTTAGCTCTCCTCACTCGGGTGTTCCATGCTAAAATCAACACTTCTCGAAAACTAGCGCTTGCAAAAAGCTGAAAAATTACTTCTATACTTCAGAAGGCTTGTAATAAACAATGTAATGCAACAATGCTTGCGTAAAAACAGCATAGCTTCGTCCTTGCACAACTAAAAAATATTGGTTCTCTCCATTTCTAACTGAGTGAAGTACAGCAATAGTATACATGTCTGATGTGAAGCGTTATCTTTGTGAGCAAGTGGGATATCCATAGGATGTTTTTTGAACAAAGGTATAAATTTTTTCGATTTTTTTTAGAATTGAGTACGACTCAAATTTTGGCTTCAAACTTTCGGTGGATCGTCGACAATACGTAAACAAGACAGACAGGCATACAAACATATCTACCTAAGTTGAGATTCGTCGGTAAATCTAGTGCCCTTGAGGTGCCAAGACTTTGCGGTAAAATATGCGCCAAACAAACATTGTTCTTGAATTGTCGGCATTTTGCACTCGAGCGTTTGCCGGCAGTACAGGCGTATAGCTGTACCAATCAGCATCGGTCATGCGATGTCGCGCCCGCGGGAGCTTGCGACTGCGACTCGTGCGAACTCTGCTACGCGTTAAAGGCAGTGGCTCGGCAAAATCCTCGATCTTTGGTTTTTTCGCTTGCCTGGGGTAATTCGACGCGCTGACTCCGTCCACTTTTTAAAGCGCGAAAATGGCGGAAATCAGCATTTCCCAAGGCCCCTCAATTTGTATTTGGACGAATGGAACGCTTTCCGCCATGGTTAGAGACGTAGAGTCGTTGTGGGACTCTCACGTTTATAGCATTGCGGCATGCCGCCTCTGATGGTATGAGGGATATCGCAAGCTGGTCCGAGCGCGTGTAAGAATGGCTTGCGCGCACGGGTTTAGGGGCAATTTTCTAGGCAGGGGTTGTATGCTGTGCGCTCGGACCTGCTCTTCTCATGTTTGAGGTGCAAGCAACCTTCCACAAAGTAATTTCGAGATGTTCGATTTTGCCGAGCCACTGCCTTTACAGGCAGTGGATCAGCAGAATGGACCTCTGTCAGATTTTGGTAGTGCTAGGTAGTAGACCCCCCAAATACACCGTAGACCCAATCTCACCCTCCATTTTATGCTCTAAGTTCTGTAATGGAGATTCAAAACTCCACCAGTCCCGCCCACTTCCATTGAGTGGGGGTCACTGGTGGAGTTTTCGAGCGCTTTTACAGGACTTAGCGCATGAATTGGAGCGTGTTGCTGGGGCTGCGGTGTATTCGGGGGGTCCACTACCTAACACTACCAAAATCTGACAGAGGTCCATTCTGCTTATCCACTGCCTTTAAGGCGCATCGCATGCGATGGTTCGTCTTCACCCGCGCAGGACCGATGATGGTTGATACAACCATCATCACCATAAACCTATTTCTTCATACGCAAACTTTATCGTAAAAGCTTCACCGCAAGGGCGCTATATTTACTATAGAACGGCACATCTCATGTTCCTTCAACCCTATATGGATCGATATACTCAATCGCCGCTTCCTTTTTTCCTTCTTTCTGATATCGGATGACTTTTTTCTGTTTTTCGATTTTTTTTCTCCTTGGTGTCAGTACTGACTTCATTGATGTTGGCGTGTGCGGCGGGTTGGTCGCTTGTCGACGATGACACCGCATCCACAATGCAAGGCGCAACACACACCCGACAAGCCGTAAGCAGGCGCCACTGCCCACTCAACTGTCTGGATTGTTTTTGCCATTTCAAAACTCACCGGTAGAATCTCAAACGCGACTTTAGTCTTCGGGAATATTTCAGTGATTTTATCTAGATAATACAACGTTCTATTGTTATCGCCCGGCATTGCATAGTAAAGCTTTCTTCTGAGTTTCCTTGCGATACCATAACCTGAGGCGAAATGAAACAACTGCAAGGATTTTCTTAAGGAAATTCCCAATCTAAGCGTCAGGTTGGCACGAAAGTTCTTGCGTCAATAAACAAAATTCAATAACTGTTTCAATCCCATACCCAAATTCTTTATTTTGTTTTGATAAATGGTCAATCGTGATTTCCATATGAATAAATGCAGAAAACTGCAAAAAACGTCATTTTTGCCGTTTTTTGCAGTTTTCACGGAAATCATAATTTTTCATAGAAAAGCTCGATCAACACAATCTTGGCACCATTAGAAAGAACAGCTCACAAAATCTCAGAGACATGCTCTCCGATTTTTCCGCAGCATTACAGATTTTTAACGATTTCTTTTCGAAAGTCGAAGTTTGAGTGGATCTCCTTTTCTAATTTTTATCTGTTGACTCTCGCATTGTCAAAGAGCCGCAGAAATACTATCAGAAAGTAAAAGAAATTTATCCAAAGGTATTTTTTGTAAGTTAACGCGTTCACAGAGGGAGCAATTACGAATTTCTAATCAAAACAGAACTTTTGAATCAACCTAATACAGGGTTTCCCAAAAAATGTGCTTGATTGCTTACAACTCTATTTTCATGAAATCTTTCGGGAAGGATTAGGTACCACTTTGTAAAGCTGGCTTGAACTTAGATTCACATTATGGAGCGAATTACCGATCTTCCTTCTTTACCGTAATATCACGGTAAACTTGCAGCATATGGCGCCACTGTGTGATAGGCCGTTCGAAAAAAATTTTCAAAAAATCTGAAAATCTGTGTAGCAAGGTTTTCATGCTGCATTTCACTACATAACTTTTTGCGTGTCCCCAGAGCTTCTCGAATGACCTAATCAAATTTTCGACGAATATCAGAAATTTGTCGTTACGTTATATGTGGCATAAAATACGAAAAAAGCATTACGGTGAAGTGCGAGTTCCATATTTGGAGTCCCCGATTAACCTAGTGCAAGAGTTTTCAGCTTCTTTAGTCTTTTCTAGAGGTAAAATAGGACCCTCAATGACGCAAAACTCTCTTCAAAGTTCTTACAGTAACCTTACAATAACCAAGAGAGATCGGAGATTCGCTTGAAGCTTTTCGGATGACTCATTGACAGGAGAGTCAACAGTGTGTATATCACTGAATGCGCTTTGAAACGTCGAACACTGATTTTTGCTGAGAAAGTGCAGTAATAAAAAATTTTCGACATTTTCTTCGCATATTTTCTGTTTTTGCTTTTCCACACGAGATTGAGTCCTGCCACAGAACTACTCCTATTTTCTTGAAAGTTTAAGGGCCAGCTAGCTGTTTACGATTGCCTGGGACCAAACTCGAGAAGTGAAATCAGGAGCGCCATTTTTGGGAGCTTTGATCTTAGTGGCTAGCTTATGAATATCCATCTTGCAGACTTTTACGGTTTTTGATGAAAAAAAAAGATAAATATTGGCTCAGGATTAGGCTACGCAAGAACTTTTGTGCCAGTCTGATATTATTCGATTATTTTGCTAGGCTTCATGAATACATACCTGATTTCCCAATCGATGTCGTATTGGTTTTAATGCTAGGTATTTCACAGGAATAGAACTGTTGACGAAGCTGGCCACTTCAGGCATATTGGATTTGCCCCTACTACTCGCGAAAATGCAGAACTGATTCAATACTAGAGAATATAATATCACTGCGGAGACGAATATACTTAGTCCGTTGATACAACAAAAATGGTAGCTGTAATCTAGTCTGAAAACCTCTGAGAATAATGTATGACAGGAACACGACAATGTACAGCACCTCATATCTATCAAATATGGTAAAAACGTCTCAATTTGAAGATGCTTTGATTTGGTTTTGAAGGTCTTATAACCGATCTCACTGTGACACAGCTAGATAGCACGTACAATAGTTGAGGAAAAGACAGATTCTTATCTGAAAAATGAATGACCCATGAAAATGACATACGTTTCTTTTTTTTCTTCTAGGGATAGTCGAAGTCATCACTCATTCCTTCTTAGCTCCCCTCTAATAGCGCAAGAATATAAAAAAAAGCATGATATCCTATTTTCAGGTGTATAAGCCACACCTTCTCGAATTTCTGAACGAGTTGCTCAGCTTCACTGTGTTTCAGAAAGGGATCTTTATGCCGCGCGATTCTCTCAGGCAAAAGGCCGGGCATATATCAGGCGATTTCGCCGCCTCACGATTCTCCCAACAAGACAGCTGTTACGAGTCATTGCATGCCGATTATCTTGCATTTCGGTCGTGATAGTTAGTCGCGATCAGTCAATTTCGGAAAACTATCACAAACAAGATGCAAGATGATCAGCATGCAACGAACTGATAAAACAATTGTTTGTTAAAAGAATCGCGAGTCGATGAAATCGCGTGATGTATGCCCGGCCCTACACGGAGCACGGTATATGGTGCATTGGTCGCAAAGCTCTTTGGCGTGTCTGGGCTGGTTGATTTTAGAAAAAAAAATCCCCCGCGACTTATTCACCTGCAAATGGGGTGCAAAACCTTAGCTCGCATTTTCTTGTGTAAGTTTGAGTTCCAGAATTGAAAATAACTTCACCAACTCTCAAATCGTCGCCACAAACCAGCAAGAAATTAGTACAGGCAATAAGGAAGATTTCGATCCAACAGCGTTGCAATCAACATCGAAAGGATCTAATTCATATGGATGCCATGCTCTCCTATGAATGACGAGTTTTTCTTCTGTCATTCTCAATCCGAAAAAAATCAAACTTACAAGTGAAAGTCGGGCTTTAGATCTTCATGATCTACTATGTGGCTTTGATAGTAAAATACGGAGTCTTGATCACGTGAGAAAAACGCTAACCACCAAGCAAATGTCGATGTGGGGACACGCATGTAAAACGCTTTGCAGAAACGATGGGCCACGTAGAAATCGGTGATCTCAGAAAACGTCGAACTGCGTACGATCTTGAAAGTTGTTTTAGCAAAAAAACGGGAAAACTTGTAACGACGTTACCTTTTGACTAGAATTGCTCGATGATAAAAGTAGATATGCCAGCTCCGCCATGAATTTCTTGTCGTCGCCAAAAACAAGGTAGTTTGTAAGATTCTCAAAGTGCAGATTTTGATACAATATCGCTCGTTTTTTGAAAACGCACAGTCGTCCGATTCATGTGAAATTACCGCAGCGTGGCCATAATTTGTTCAGAATGGACGATCTTAATCCAAAGGTACCATTCGACTCAGTTCGACACGGCGCATCTTCTGATATATAGAAGATCCTGTACACTGTAAAGCCAGATTCCAATCGCTTCAGATTTTTGCTTATGGTGGGTTACTCAGTGTGCTTATTCACTGCACTTGGTCGACAACCTACCGTAAGCAAAAATCTGAAACGATTCGCGGAATCTGGCCTGATGCTGTGTCCAAAAAAACAATATACCAGAAGAATCCAGCGCCGAGCTGAGTCAAATGTTGCGCCTGGATTAAGAATTCGTTTACTCTGGAGCGAGATATCGACACTCTGCGGGATGTCACATGAATCGGGCGACTTCGCGTCGTTCTTCAAAACATGCGCGCGGTATTCTAGAATCTCACGGAAACAATGTCTAGCATTGTCGTCTGCCCTCCCCCTCCCCCCCCCCCCCCCTCACGCCAGCTTCTCTCCATCTATCGAGCGGATTAATTCGAAAGTTACGCAACTAGCATGATATTATACAGGGTGTCCCAAAAAAATGTTTCGAACGTTTGATTGTTAATATCTCTCTTCCCAAGAAGTCTTTTGCCTTGCTTCAGGTACCGTTTTGTAGAGCTGGCTTCAACTTAGATTTCCGTTATAGAACGAATCACCCATCTCTCTTCATTACTGTAGGGTTACGGTAGAAACTTCAAAGAGGGTTTTGAACCATGAAAGGCCATATTTTGCCTCAGAAAGGAAACAAAACAGCCTGAAAACTTTTACACCAGGCTAATTAGAATTGCTGATTATAACTGTAAAGTTCCCAACTTATTATGATGCTTCATTGAAGAGTTATGCCAGGTGAGAGGTAGCGGCCTTTTTTTTTTCAATATTCCTAAAAAGTGCGATTACACCGTTTAGAAAACTTCGTAACCTTGTGAACAGTTGAGTATTGAACTCAGCGTCCATAAAAACCCTATTACACATGTTTTCACAATTATTTGAAAAATTTTGAAACGGCAGCTTTTTTCCACATTGACACCACATGTTTCAAGTTTCTACCGTAATCCTACAGTAATGAAGAGAGATGGGTGATTCGTTCTAAAATGCAAATCTAAGTTGAAGCCAGCTCTACAAAGCGGTCCCTGAAGCAAGGCGAAAGACTTCTTGGGAAGAGAGATATTAACGATCAAACGTTCGAAACATTTTTTTGGGACACCCTGTAAAATACCGCTCATAATTCGTCAAAAAAGTCGCCGGACTGCGGCGTACTGCAGCGCACTCCGGCAACTTTTTTGACGAATTATGAGCGGTATTGTACGTTTAGGAATGACCTTGAGGATGGGAAGGAGGATACGCCCAAACTTCTATTTCAAAAAAGCAGTAGTCTGCAGAAAACAAATTCGAAACATAGTCAATGAATTTTTTCCTTCCTCTTCCCCTACCCCCTCTCAGGCAGTTTCTACATTTTCAAGATTCGAGCATTGCACAACTTCAAGAGTTGATGCGAAAGTTTATAATTCAAGATGTCGAAAAACCAACTGAAACATTCTTCACGACCACCAACACTATTGACCATTATAATTTTAGCTAGGAAATTTAAGCATAGACAGTCACCTTTTTTGCAGCGATGTCTTTTGTCGCGTGCAATGTGCTGGGCAGATCCGACTTTAATCCATAGCTCAGATAATCCGATCGACGAATATGTACACACATAAAATCGCTTGCACTACCGCTAAATGGAATTCCAAAATGAAATAATTCCTAGCATGTGGCTGCAACTATGCTCACAAACTTTTTTTTTGAGAAGAAGAAACGACTATGGAGCACACCTTCTCACCAATGAGATTAAAAAAATCCATATGTAGAGCTCTTACAGATTAAGCTGGCGCAAAGTTCGTTTCATCTGCGTATGGATTTCTTCGGAAAACAAGAATAACTGCCGTATCTCATCAATATAGCTTTCCATATAATTTGCGTTTTGAGCGAAACTGTGGTTGAGTAACAGGAACTTTGCAGGGTGGTCCATAAATCTACATAAAAAAATCTAGCCTTTTTCGAGTTCATGTTACTAATAGATGCAGTTACTAAGCACCTCGCTGGATCATCGTAGCGACAGCACGTTCGTTTCCCGTGTTCATCAACTGCAAATGGAACTATTGTCAGCTCGATGTTGTCTATCTAAAAATACATAACCTGACTACGTTTAGCTATACTGAAATCAAGAAAGAGTCCTTGATATTTGTCAGAAATAGTATAGAATGCCTACTCACTGGTATAACTTTATATACAGAGGTAGTTCTGGGAAACACATGAGATACAAGCTCAAGATAGCATAAAAATTTATCCCTGCCAAGCGCTGGGTAGTAGAATGTTCTTCCAAGTCTTCTAGCAATTGCGTAGCCTGATGCGAGTGCATACAGCTGAAGTTGCAGAATTTCTAGATATTAGACGCTTGATGCGCCCACTGAATTATTACCGAAGAAGATCTTCATCTCACTTCTAAGGGCTCACCTAAAACACATGGAATTTCGAAAAATTCTTCCTGGAACACAGAACTAATGAGGACATCTTCATTTCGAAAGTTCTCATTGCATCCACGAAGTTCCCGCCAAAAAGGCTATGAGTCATGGTTTTCAAAGCAATCTTTTGTAAGCCAAAAGGAACTCTCCTATAATCCAAATCAATGTGGATTTCAATTTTTACATTTACGACTCATGATCGAGATATTTAACTATCGTTGTGATTGCACTACATCTTAAACTGGTATAGGTAAATCATTTTTAGAGTGACCCCTTTTCTACCTTCGTGCGGCCCTTTTCGTGCTACTTTTTCGTGTTTGGGATTTTAAAAGCGAAATGAACAATTGGACAACATTGCTCCTTCATGATGTAGTTCAGCGACACGATGCAAAGCGCTTTCGCTCTTTTCCTCCTCAATTCAAGTTGATTATACAAAACTACATAAAAAACACCTGATTCCCGAGACGTTCTCGATTTGGCTTTAGAGCCAAGAACTTTTCCTTTGCAGCGTAGCTATAATGCTTCTTTGATAAGAGTGGAATATGAACTTTTGGCAAGAAAGAGATAACGAAGAATAAGTATAGAAGCAAAGGAGTAGATTTTCTTCTCGAAATCATTCCATTTTCCTTAGTGGATATTTAGTGGTTCTGAAAATGTAGAATTGGAATCATACTCGACAGTCCATGAATCCTGGCACTTGTACGTAAATACCGTGCAGAAATTTCGAGTGGTACTTGTCAATTTCATGATATCAAGAGAAATTTGTTGCTCTTTTATGCAAATACATGAAACTTCAGTAATAAGGGTGAACAATCCAGAAGACGAAGTTCGATGTAGAAGTCCTGTGCTTGTGATTCAATGGAAGCAAACGATATTAGCTAAAAGTTTTGAAGAAGGGAGCAGAGCGTTTTCCTATGCAACAATATTCTTGAGCCATCGTGTGTGCGCTCTTGAAGGCAGCGTCAAGGCAGAATCTCGATTTCTCTTTTTTTGCCTTATCCAGGCTTCTTCATGGGTCTGATTCCAAATATGGCACTCAAAATGCGTGAATTCCTCAAAAACCCCATTTTGAGACAATTTTGTTAGAACCATGGACGAGTGCTTCTAATGCAATCCTTATCGAAAGCAAGCGTTAACAGGTGGAGTTCCATTGTGTTTGCCACGTGAAAACACGTCAAGGCTGAGGAGAGTTCGTTCAAGCCTCGAGGACCACGCCCACTCTCTCGAACTGCCCGCCCCCTTGAACGAACTCTCCTCAGCCCTTGACATGTTGAAATGGAGTTTTTCCAGAAAATCACGCATTTTGAGTGCAATATTTGCAAACAGCGCCGTGAAGAGGCCTGGATAAGGCAAAAAAGAGAAGTCGAGATTTTGCCTGGACGCTGCCTTTGAGACAAGCTCTCAAATGAAAGAACTCTAGAAGCTCGCAGTACAACCCTACCGTTCGCTGCACCTTTTCTTATACGAATCTTGATGCGAATAGAGATATCGAAGACTTTTCTTACTAAATCTGCATAAGGGTGATGACAATACAGCGTTTACTTTGAGAAAAATAACAACTTATAGAAACCCGAAAATGCACAGTATCTTATGACTGAATGTTTCAAACCATGCATAAAATCTCTGTTATGATCGAATTCTAGATCTTACCCTTCGACAAACTTTTTCATCCGCAGCGGTTATAGAGTGTCTCATTAATCTACCTTGCACATCTTGTAGGTCCAATCGAATGCTGATTGCATTGATTGGATGGAACTTGAGTAGGTTGTTCAAGTCAACGAGTTGATTACTCTTGGGACTTGATCGCTCTACCATTATTTTCCTGCATTATACTAACATAACACTTCTTGACTAGATTCTTTATCTATAGTGATTGATTCTTTATCTATATCTTTGGTGCATCGGCTAAAATCAGACCGATACTTTGCTCTTCTCCCAAGGACAAGACAGAAGCCTTAATGGTGCAATGACGACTCTGCATGTCCATATGGAAGATGTGAAAACATACACCGAGAAACTAGCGGAACTACTACGAAAGTACGCTAGCCATAGTGAAAAAGTTATACTTTCAGAGGATGAACAGGAGCGACAAAAAGCATGCATCGACAAACCGCATATAATACCAAACTGCATCTTCGACATCATCCTGGGTTTACACTTGATACGATCGAAAACCGACGTGCTAAAGAAAATGCGAGCACAAGAGAGTGCAACATCATCAAGAAGCTGGCGGCAAAGGATTGAAATTCGCTCAATAAAGAGATAGATCAAATGACTAATGATGCCCAAATGTTTGTTTACACATTAGAAGAATGTGAATCAAAGGCAAAGGTAGAACTACCTAGATTGGAACGTAAAAAATTATTCAATACCAACAGAGAGAGCATACCTTTCTGAAATCAGCAACCAAAGAAGGTAATTATAACGTGTCCTTATCCGCTAAAGAATTCCCTGCCAAAAATAGCTCATGGTTTTGACGAAACAGAACAGAAGTCTGCTAAAGCGGACATCTCAATTAAAGGGTGACTTCAGCTGTGCAACAATCAGTGTGAGAGAATCACCAGAAATCGAACTGCAGTTGGTCAATGGCAACGATGACCAATCCACGGACACAACCTTTCTCGTCCACGCTGTGGCATCTGTGCAGATCATGACACTTCCAGTAACAGTTGAAGCAAAGACAGCCATCTCCGATGATAAGCAAATTTCAGCTCCGTTTCCATACAAGACTACTGCGCACATTGACAATATCACTAAGATTAGCTCTTTGTCACTCTGTCGTGTTGAATGTACTAATCACAAAAACTTCATCGTCTGCTTGTTCTAACCATCTGCCTTCTGTCGTTGCCACGTCCGCTCATACTTCGCGGATCTCAGGACTGCTAGAGTGGTACGCGCCACTCACCAACGACCACTGCTCTATCCAGTCAAAAAAAAAGTGCGAAATAGAGTAGATTATCTGATGTGTTTCTATCACGTCCTCTTCTTTACTCCTCTTCTGCTTCATACATGGCCGGCCGCAGTGTGCCGGCATAATTGGCACTTCTCTTTGTGACCTATTATTATCTTGCCAGATCACCGTAAGGGTCATGCCATATGACCTGCTGTGATAAGTGTGTTTATTGCCCAGATGCATGCCAAGTTACTTTGCTCCGCCTGTTATCCTCGTCATTCTACCACTGCCCCAATGCGGGCGAGTCGTCTGACTCAATAAATCTGCCAGGCTAGTGCATTGCTCGCACCTGCAGATACTACTACCAAGGCTACAACTAGCCTAAGCTACGTCAACGCACAGCCTTTACAGTACGGGTAAGGCTTCCATAATCGTTTGGGGAGGACTTCTGCATGAGTGACGAAATTGACATATTGTGTAGATGAGGACTTCCATGGTGATGATATGTGACATATGGGTATACGAGGATTCGTTAAAGGCAGCGTCCAGGCAGATCTGGACCTATGGGAATTTTATGTGGAAAATACTTTTGGGGCCCTAACTAAGGCACTGCTCAAGCGGCAGCGCAGCTAGAGTTTCGAATGACAGTTTCGCGCCAGGACACACGCATTGGGCCATGAATCCATGCGGAATACGATCGCGGGGTCCAGTTTCGAGGGGGAGATCTCAGCCGTTAGAACACTACCTCGGCTGCCACTTTGGAGGTGGCTTAGTTAGGGAACAAAATTACTGTCCACGTGAGATCCCCATGTGTCCAGACTTGCCTGGACGCTGCCTTTAAAAAGGTGGGGGGGGGGGGGGGTAATGCAGAAAATGAGATTGCTAACAAAATGGAAATAAAGCATAAGTCGACAGCAGATAGCAAAATAAATATGTTTGAAGACAACTAAGGAATGGAAAGCCAGAATTTTCGAGCTCCAATCTCTGCGTAACGTTCAAGCGCAGTCTCTTTTTATTAAACTAACGGCTTCGTGAACTTTGAGATTAAATTGCAAGCTAAGAAGAGGTTGTTTTGAGAAATGTTGCCTTGAATTCTATGGAAATTTACACAAAACCTTGATTCAGCGCCAAAATGGCATAAAAACGTAGCTTTTCGATTTTGCTGGGGTTTTTGTGATATCAAACGCATCGGCTTGATCCCAGTTGAAGCAGACTCTATGAGATGCACCTACATCAATACAAACAGTTGCGAATCCGTCCCAGCGTCCAGATGGAGGCATCTTATTATGAACCATCCTGAATAGGCCGCAGGAATCATTGCTGTTTATAAATTATCTGATAAAGATCCTAACCATTCGTCGACAATCTGTCTCAGTTGAAAAACGTTTCTGTTACTTGTGGTCGACCTGACCTATTTGTCCGTCAGATTCAAGGTGCACTTCCTAACCGACATAAGCGTCAAAATGTGCAGCTTTAGGCTACCATGTGCTGGCAAATAATTGGAGTAATTAGCGTTTCCTCATTGATCTTGGCAATGGTCGTCAACTGTTCTGGCGGAAAGAGAGAAAGAGAACATGCCGGCAGACAGCCATCGAGTGACGTCCCAAGGGCAAGAATAAATAAGCAACTTTAGATGAAGCAACGAAAACATAAGACTAACTCCAGAGTCCCAGAAACGAAGACCGCAGAATGCAGAAGTCCGGAGATTTCGACCACAAAACGCAGAAGTCGGCGACGCCGCCAGTTAATGCTGTCTCGACAAGACGCGATAAGCTAACGGTAGATTTTCTGCTCTATATCTACTCAGGGCATACTTCGCGCGACTTCAGTCACGGTACGATTTGGCAGTAGGCCAACTTCCGTGACTCACCGCAAGCTTATTCTAGTTGTACAGAAGACGGGACTTTTTACAATCTGCAAAAATGTACGCGTATGCATTCGTAGACCGCCGACGGATTTGAAGACATCTGACAGATTGCCAAACCGCCTGGCGACTAAAATCGCGCAAAGTATGCCCGAGCCTGTTTCATTCACCATTAACGTGATGGTTGCAGTCCAGATCAATAATGCCTGACGACGGTTACGAGGCTTGTCCGGATCTCAATTCCAAACAGCTGGCGAAAATAGCTGCCGAAACGTAAAATTGTTGGAACGACGAAAAGACACACATACAATGCGATAACAAACTATCCTTTTCGTAATGAACGTATTCGCAAAGATCATGGTCACCCATTTGTAAGCGCCTAAAGATGAATAAGGAACAATAATTACTCTCCAGAGCAGTGATAAGATTTACTCTCATCAAAGTTGCGAAGGGGCCTGATAACTGGTTCAAGTCCCTCCAACCCATGCTCTGAGCAGTTTGTTCTGGATTTTGATTACAGCCTATGTCAGTGTGTACCTCTCCATCCGCCCGTTCGCTATTCGCCGTCCGTCGCGGGCGAACATGGTGCGCCATGTTCGCCTGCGTATGGTTCAGCAATTGATTTGATTCCGACTGGACCACACGCAACACTAGCGCGTTGATAATTCTTACGCAAAAAAGGGAAGGTTCATTCATAAGACCGTGACGACAGATTTGACTGTGGTCTTTGCGCCCACAAGCATAAGACCCTCATACAAGAAGGCATCACCTCCGCTCAGCTCAGTCACTTCCAATGTCCAAGTACTGTCATACCTAACAAGGGAATGGTCAGAAGTCGAAGTGGCCAATTCATACAAGCTGCATACCATTGGATGCAGCATAAAACCGTGATTCTAAATCTGTCTTCCTTATCTGCAGAGCGCTTTTGTGGACGAAATTATAATCTGCTGGAGGCCATTATTTTGCTGAAAAATTGTGCGATAAAGTGGAAACTTGGCGGTACAAAGCCATTTTCGGCTCAGTGTTTGACCAAAATATGCAACTAGGTCACTTCATATGACACGCACTCAAAGTTGAGCGTAAGAGCAATAATGTGCCTAATTTTGCAATTTTTGTATACGGTCTTTTCGCAGTAAAGCTGCTCATAATTTCGCCTACAAAGGCGCTCTGCGGATATGGAAGACAGATTTGAAATCAGCATTTTATGCTGCATCGAATGATGTGCAGCTTGTATGGATTGGCCACTTCGACTTCTGACCATTCCCTTGTAAGCAGAAGCACCAGTCGAGAAGAGATTGAAGCCAAGAAATCGCAGTTGGCGGAAGGTGCGTGCGCGCCGCGCGCGATCGCGCCATCGCGATTTTTTGGATGCCCTATACCTAGCTGACACTAACATTCCTCGGTACCGTACTGCTACAAGTGGAATTACATTGAGTATTCTGCAGATAAGTCAAGATCTTGAATTTTTTTAAAACTAGGGCTTTCAGGAGTGATTTTTTATCCTCACATGGGGTCTGCTCTTGTCAGGTGTCTCCATGTTTCCTGAGGCTTTTCTCCAAGCTCTCGCCGGTCACTCATGTGCCCATCCACCTTATCACCTAGGGCCCGTATGCACGTACATCCCCGCTGGGGAGGGGAGGGGAGCTGGATCCCCAGGGGAGCGATCCCCTTTATTGAACCCCGCTATGCCAGAGTGGAGGGGAGCTATCCCCTCCCCTGCATCCACAGCGGGGAGAGTGTCATTGCGGTAGTCGCATCTAGCTCACGGCTACCTGAACATCTCGCCGAAAAACTATTTTCAGCCATTTTTTGTGTGCTTTTGGGATGAGAGAACAAGAATAGTGATTTCGAGTGCCTTTGTTCCTTTTCTCAGTCTTCTTCTTTTTTCTCCTTTCACCCTTCCCATTGTATCTCCACCCATCGCTGTCTTCTTCTTTTCCCTATTACTGGCTGGTTTTAAGGGTTTATACTTGTTACGTGCTGTCGTAGTATAATGTTGATTTCTGAACTGGTGTGATTCTATTTAGCAGTTCCCTCGCAATTATGTTATGGCTTACATTTCTCATAGAAAAACTCATGAGTGTGCAGTTTTGTAGTATCTGTGTTTTTTTTCCAACGCTTGCTAGCCATTTCTTTGCGGTACTCTTTCGCTGCCACAAATTCGGTATTTGGTTTCAGGGATATCGATAGGGCGGACCCTGGTGGGGATCCCTTCCCCTCCCCTCCCCGTATGCACGAATGTAGCTCAACAGCGCGAGGGAGGGGATCGACATCCCTTGCAACGGAGTAAGGGTTCGATGGTGTACATCATGTTAGAAAAGCGAATATTCTGGTTTTAATTAACTATCACCAAGCAATTCGTTCAATTTGATGAAAGATTTCCTTTGAAAGCCGGATTCTCCTCTCAGCGACCTGTAGCTTGTAATCTTGTCTCTCTTCTAAATTCCCATCTTGAAAAGAAACCCAAGCAATATTTGTAGGAGTTCTTGATCATTTAAGAAATTTGCGCATTTTTCAAATGACAATAGTTTTAGCCAGATAGGCTGATCAGGTACATTGTAACTATCGTATTACATGATATATTGCTCCTACCTTGTTAATTTAACATGAGCTGCCTTGAAAAAATTTAGAAAATAGCAAATTTGCCTAATTCTAAGTAGTGGTCCCCTGGAGAGTGACCCCTTCCCCAGCATTCCCCTCGTGCATAGAGGGATGGCCGCTGGGGATCATTCACTTGGAGGAATGGACGGTATGTCGCTAAAAGCTACAGCTTCCATGAAAAGCTAGCACGATTTGCAGTTTCTTTTATGTGTGGAAATGCTGGTTTTGAATGTCCGCGGCACCCTCCCCCCTTTTTTTCGGAAGCATAACATATTCTACCCATTCACTGCAGAGACATCACGACTTCTAATGTTGAACACTTTTACGCTGAAATGTGCAGCATTAGCGAAAGTGAGCAACATTCTTGAAAACAGCAAAAATATAATGTACGTAGGAAATCTTTCTTGGTGCACCGAGCGCAATCACGGGCGATGGCATTCCGCAACGAGTAAAATATTGCCGATGACATGCTGGAGGCGAGTAGCTACCAAAAGATGAGAAAAGAGGAGCGATTACCACAAAAAGCGGAAGCGAAATGATTTCCCCGCTCGATCCCCCCTTCTGCATAAGGGGGTTCCCTTTCCCTACTTCCAGGGGATCCTCTCCCGGTATTGCCTTTGTGCATACGGGGGTTCGCGTGGAGAAGGGAGGGGAGCCCCAGCGGGGATCATTTCAATGGTTAAGCGCACATCCCCTCCCCGCGGGGATGTACGTGCATGCGGACCTAGGTCTACCTGGTTCCTCCCTGTTGAGGCTAACCTTGTGATGTGGCTTCCTTCCTTTTCACGCAGGCGTGTCCCCTTCCCTCTCAAACTCTTCTCCTGTATTTTCTGAGTAGCTGAAGCTACGCTGATTTGGGCTCGTATAGTGTCATTGCAGATGTGGTCTTTCGGTGTGGCAATAAGGTCTATCGCAGCATCATTCTCCATGACATTGAGCATGCGATCCAGCGTTCACTGCCATAGTGCTGCTGGACGGATAACGATTCGGTAAGTTGTGACTTAAAGACAATGGCTCGGCAAAACCAACATCTCGAGATTTGATATGAAAGGTTGCTTGCATCCCAACCATCACAACAGAGCAGGTCCCAGCGCACTAGCTGCCCACGTCTCTGAGTACTCGAAAACCCTGACAATCCCTCTTTCGGAGAACCCGAGAGTTCCTATCACCGCTTCCTCGAACGGTGATTGGAAGGGCGAGGACAGATGAGCGGCATTACTGGAGGTGGGCGGTGTCGCCTAGGAGTCGTCGTGCCTCTTCGTTGTTCCGAAGCGATTTTCTCGCCCGAAGTGAGATTGCGCCGTGACTTGAGCATTGGCTTGGTAGGGGGTCCTACTATCATATGCTGCCAAAAGCTTAAAACCCCTAGCTTAAGGTACGCGGTGCTTTGAGACTCCAATTTATGCATATGTTCATCCTGCCAGCGACCTCTTCTTGTACGCCTCCATCCGTTATGCTATGCCTTACTTACTTTCGCATAATCTGTTTTCCTAATGCTCAACTTTACAATTCTAGCCTGTTTTTTTGGTTTTGTATCTCGGTCTTGCCCTAGTACTTATTATCGAGACCACATCATCTGGATAAAGAAGTGTGCAAGGAGGTTTCAATACGGCTTCATCACAATGGTGAAGAATAAAAAATAGCATTGAACCTTGGCGCCTTCCAACTTCGATTTTGAAACCTTTCTATTGCCCTGCAGCTGTCCGTGCGTGACTTGAAGCATTGTGGTAGGTACATTTTATCCGCCTAGGAATGCTGCTGCAATTTCTTCTGCTTGTCTCTATATTTCCATACCCGAGCGGAGTGAATGAGCAAAGTGAAGCGTCGATTGCAACTCCTTATCCAAATCACATCCTCCATCACATCAATCCTTACACTGAATTTGTGACAAATCTTTGATATCTCGAAGCCGCATTTCGATTACTCGCTCGAGAAATCTTGAAGTGAAGGTCGTCAGCTGGATTGGTCAGTGAAATGCGCACTCTGCCACGTTATCAATTGCAGTGTCGGGAGCACCTTTCCGTTCTCGCGCGGCCGCTTCGCCTGCTTCTGCACCCCTTTCGGGAACATGCTCTCTGATCAATTTCCCACCGAAAGCGTGGGGAAGGCGGAGCCTCAATCGATTGGATGTGATTAGATGTTGACATGTTTGCGGAAGAGGTGCAGAGTCCCTCGCTGGAGTGGAGATGCTGGTGCAGCGAACTGCAATTGATAAGCCCTGTGCGCCTCTCTTGTTCTTTCGATATTGGAATCGCTTTCCAGCATGGATTCTGATATAAGAGTAAAATTTTGAACACACTCGGATTCTGACCCAAATGCTGTATATCCACCGTACATCTCCACAAAATAGCGTTACCGCAAAACCAAAATGATATTCATGTCCGCAGCAGGCGAGAAGTTTAAACGGAACCAGCTGTGCCAAATTCAGGCTGCTTTCATACTGATCAGAAGTCCGGGAACAGTTCAGCAGAGCGCTTAAAATGAGCGCTCTGCTGAAACTGTTCCCGGACTTTGGGATCAGTAGAACGCAGCCTCAGTGTGGAGTAGTACCAATTTTCATGCAAAAAAATTTCAAGAACTGTACTCTATAGTAGCCAACGGCAGCAGCGGAAATCCAAAATTTCTTATAGGGAGAAGGCGGAATGTGAAGAAATTTTGAGTGACGAGTTGTGGTAG